AATTCCTTCATCAAGATCATTGATATATATTATAAACAACAACGGACCCAAGACTGATCCCTGTGGAACGCCACTTGTTACTGATCCCCACTCGGATTTAACCCCATTTATGGACACTCTCTGCTTCCTGTCTGTGAGCCATGATTCGATCCACGAGAGCACCCTTCCCCCAATGCCATGAGCTGCTACTTTCTTCAACAGTCTTTGGTGCAGTACTCTATCAAATGCCTTTCTAAAATCTAAGTAAATAATATCAAATTCTTTATGGTGGTCAACAGCCTCAAAAGCTTTACTGAAGAAAGTTAATAAATTAGTTAGACAAGACCGGCCTCTTGTGAATCCATGCTGAGTATCATTAATCAAGCTATGCTTATCGAGATGGCTTCTTATAATCTGAGCTATAATTGACTCTAGTAATTTGCCTACAATTGAGGTCAGGCTTATTGGGGGGTAATTTGACGGTAACGACTTGTCCCCTGTTTTAAAAATAGGAATTACATTAGCCATCTTCCACATATCAGACACTACACATGTTTGAAGAGATAAATTAAAAATATTAGTTAATGGTTCACAGACTTCCATTTTGCATTCCTTTAGAACCCTTGAAAAAACCTCATCAGGACCCTGTGATTTATTTTGCTTCAGTCGGTCTATCTGCTTCACAACCATTTCACTAGTGACTGTGATGTTACATAATTTATCTTCTTCTGGCCCACTATAAAAATTAATTACCGGAATATTATTAGTGTCGAAGATTGAGACACTTATGCAGCATATGGGAATCTTTATTCAGGAAACGTTTCGCCACACAGTGGCTTCATCAGTCCAATACAAAGAGGAAGGCGTAAGGAGTGGAGGAGTATGAGGTAATCAGTCCCTCAACCTGGAGTCGATGTGTTCAGTCCATCAATCTTGTAGAATGTACAGCATAGGGCCGTAGACGTGGCTTATATACTGTAGTGAGGTGAGGTGAAGCAGGCGGAGGCGGGGTCATAGTGGTACCATCCACTAGTCGAAGTAGGTCTTCGTCCAAAGGTTGAACAAGTGTTGAAGAATTCTTTGTAACAAGAGCCCATGATGCTGCAGTGTCTGACAGTTGTGATGAATGGTTTGAAAAACCGACAAGTTGAAGATTGAGACACTTATGCAGAATATGGGAATCTTTATTCAGGAAACGTTTCGCCACACAGTGGCTTCATCAGTCCAATACAAAGAGGAAGGCGTAAGGAGAGGAGGAGTATGAGGTAATCAGTCCCTCAACCTGGAGTCGATGTGTTCAGTCCATCAATCTTGTAGAATGTACAGCATAGGGCCGTAGACGTGGCTTATATACTGTAGTGAGGTGAGGTGAAGCATGCGGAGGCGGGCTCATAGTGGTACCATCCACTAGTCGAAGTAGGTCTTCGTCCAAAGGTTGAACAAGTGTTGAAGAATTCTTTGTAACAAGATCCCATGATGCTGCAGTGTCTGACAGTTGTGATGAATGGTTTGAAAAACCGACAAGTTGAAGATTGAGACACTTATGCAGCATATGGGAATCTTTATTCAGGAAACGTTTCGCCACACAGTGGCTTCATCAGTCCAATACAAAGAGGAAGGCGTAAGGAGTGGAGGAGTATGAGGTAATCAGTCCCTCAACCTGGAGTCGATGTGTTCAGTCCATCAATCTTGTAGAATGTACAGCATAGGGCCGTAGACGTGGCTTATATACTGTAGTGAGGTGAGGTGAAGCATGCGGAGGCGGGCTCATAGTGGTACCATCCACTAGTCGAAGTAGGTCTTCGTCCAAAGGTTGAACAAGTGTTGAAGAATTCTTTGTAACAAGATCCCATGATGCTGCAGTGTCTGACAGTTGTGATGAATGGTTTGAAAAACCGACAAGTTGAAGATTGTGACACTTATGCAGCATATGGGAATCTTTATTCAGGAAACGTTTCGCCACACAGTGGCTTCATCAGTCCAATACAAAGAGGAAGGCGTAAGGAGTGGAGGAGTATGAGGTAATCAGTCCCTCAACCTGGAGTCGATGTGTTCAGTCCATCAATCTTGTAGAATGTACAGCATAGGGCCGTAGACGTGGCTTATATACTGTACATTCTACAAGATTGATGGACTGAACACATCGACTCCAGGTTGAGGGACTGATTACCTCATACTCCTCCTCTCCTTACGCTGCATAAGTGTCTCAATCTTCAACTTGTCGGTTTTTCAAACCATTCATCACAACTGTCAGACACTGCAGCATCATGGGATCTTGTTACAAAGAATTCTTCAACACTTGTTCAACCTTTGGACGAAGACCTACTTCGACTAGTGGATGGTACCACCATGACCCCGCCTCCGCCTGCTTCACCTCACCTCACTACAGTATATAAGCCACGTCTACGGCCCTATGCTGTACATTCTACAAGATTGATGGACTGAACACATGGACTCCAGGTTGTGGGACTGATTACCTCATACTCCTCCTCTCCTTACGCCTTCCTCTTTGTATTGGACTGATGAAGCCACTGTGTGGCGAAACGTTTCCTGAATAAAGATTCCCATATGCTGCATAAGTGTCTCAATCTTCAACTTGTCGGTTTTTCAAACCATTCATCACACATTACTAGTGTCTTCCTGTGTAAAAACCGAGAGAAAATAATTATTTAAAACCGAGCACATTTCATTCTCTTTGTCAGTAAGATGCCCATAGTTATTTTTAAGGGGACCTATCTTATCTTTGACTTTTGTTCTATATACCTGGAAAAAACTTTTTGGGTTAGTTTTAGAATCCCTAGCAACTTTAATTTCATAGTCCCTTTTAGCTTTTCTTATCCCCTTTTTAATGTCCCTCTTAATATCAATATACTGATTCATAAGATGACCCTCACCTCTTTTGATACGCCTATAAATTCCTTTCTTATGCCCTCGTAGATATTTCAGCCTATTATTCATCCGTTTTGGGTCATTTCTGTTTGATCTAAAATCTTTGTACGAGATAAACGTTCTTTGAGCAGAATGTATAGTGTTCAGAAAACTGTCATATTGATAGCTCTCTTTGTTACCCCGGTCAACAGATGATAAGTGTTCTCTAAGCCCGCCGTAATCTGCTAAGTGAAAATCTGAGACTGTTACTGAGTTATCCCTACTATCGTACTTCCATTCAATGCTAAATGTAATTGGTTTGTGGTCGCTAGTACCGAGTTCCTCTGAAATTTCTAAATTATTAACAAGGGATTCATTGTTTGCTAAAACTAAGTCAAGCAGGTTATTTCCCCTTGTAGGTTCTGTCACAAACTGCTTCAAAAAACAATCCTGAACTTCTTCTAAGATGTCGTATGATTCTAAATTCCCAGTCAAGAAATTCCAATCAATATGACTAAAGTTAAAGTCTCCTAGAATTACTACATTATCGTGCCTTGTGGCCCTAACAATTTCCTCCCATAGTAGTCTTCCCTGGTCCCTATCTAAGTTTGGGGGACGGTATATCACATCTAAAATTAATTTTTCATGCCCCTCTGAAAATTCTATCCAAACAGACTCAGTATGTGTTACTTCAGACTTAATACCCGTTTTTATGCAACAGTTCAAGCGATCTCGGACATACAATGCCGCCCCACCCCTCTTCCCGATACTTCTATCTACTTGGAACAATTTAAAACCTTGAATGTGACATTCCGCAGGCATGTCCCGAATTTTCATATTGAACCACGTCTCGGTTAAGGCAAATACATCAATGATACCTGCATTAGCAACTAGTCTCAACTCGTCCATCTTATTCCTAGCACTACGACTATTTGTGTAATATATTCTTAAGGACCCTCCTTTCTCTTTACCCTTCCTGCTCCTTTCTGTTATTCCGCTAAACCTATTACTGTCCTTGTCAATTAGTGCCACTGGCTTTCCAATATCCACCTCATTTTGGCTATTACTAGTTCTCCTAGTACTCACATTACTACACTGCGACTTCACTGTTTTCCCGCCAAAACCCATACCACTAACTATTCTTAGTTTAAAGACCTAACAGCTCCCTCCACTGCGTTGGCCGGTGCTCCCACCCCACACCTAGATAAGTGAACCCCATCCCTGGCATACATGTCATTTCTGCCATAGAAGAGGTCCAAGTTGTCAAACAATGTTACCGCATTTTCCTTACAGTATTTGTCCAGCCAGCAATTTACACCAATTGCTCTGGACAACCATTCATTTCCAACTCCTCTCCTTGGCAAAATACCACATATGACAGGGTTCCCACCCTTCCTCCTAATTATCTCTATTGCTGACCTATACCTGCTAATCAGGTTCTCACTCCTACGTCTGCCAACATCGTTGGCTCCAGCACTGAGACAGATTGCTCCCATTACCTCTCATGATGTCATCCAGACGGCTAACAATATCCTTCATCCCATGGAGCACTGTACTGGGGTCAAGAGTAAGTGAATAACCTATAGTAAGTATGTGGTGGAGGCAAACATCATACCAGTTTCATGAGTAAGTGTGATCAGGCACTGGGAACCAGGAATCATTAGAGCCAGTATGTAAGAGTTAGAGGCAATTCTAGGCGTTATGAGACCTCTGCATCCACGAGTAAGTTAGTACATATAGGTAAGTATATGTACCAGAAACGTTCCTTGAGGACATGATTTCAAAGGCTGCTAATCATAGGCTGCAGCACTGATTATTGCTGATAGCTTTGGAGAAGTTAAAATATACCGTAGTAAGTCGGGACAGGTAAAACCCATTAGTGTTGTCTTTTCCGTTCATCTGGAAATTATATTTTTCAGGTTATGCTTAAACCCCTTTAACCTACGTACTGGTATACATAGTATGCAGACCTTAAGGGAAGAATGTATTCGTGTTAATTTAAATTAGAGAAATTCCAGAAAAAAAAAATTATAAAGGACCTTGACTCCTGGGTGATTCATGTATTACGCTTCACATTAGCTGATAGTGCTAGAGAACTGGTATAGTTGAGGACGGCATGTCAGATAATTATAAATATAATAAATTTCACTGACCTGGAGAGAGTGTAGATCTAGAAGACCTAATAGCTTGACAGGGTTCATGTATACCCCACCAGTTCCACCCTCACGAATATTTCTCACGCTTAACCACACACAGGAAGCAGGCGCCTCACGAGAGATGGCTTCTTGATCGACTTGGACGGAAGATGCTGTTGCAGTAGAGGTGGAAAACGTGGATATGATGGGCTTATCAGATGGAAGGAGCTGGGTTCTGGACGAGTGGTAAGGTTGGTAGTGATCTTGTTGATGGTTGTATACACTCATTACTTCCACTAAATTTTCCTTCTCGCCGATAACACTTAACACACCTGCCATAAGTCTTCCCAGACCTCCTCCGCCATTCTGTCGGTGTTCAAACAGTTGAAGCCATCGTCAAACCACCTCAGCTACATAAAATGTCATCTGTTAATAGTTCCAGAGATTATTATAACCACGGCCGATATCAAACCAGGCCTCATTTGGAAGGTTAGGTAAGGTTTGTCAGGAAACAGAAGTGTTTCCTGACGCGGGTCTTAGTCATATTATGACCCACCTTTAGAGCTTTGGTCATCTGACCGAGGCCTTCCGCTGGCTTACCGGTTCACCCCTTTAAAAATAATGGTCATTTGTAACCATTATTATTATTAAATTAATAATCCTCCTCATTTGGAAGAATTACAAATCTGGTCATTAAAATAAATTTGGAATATTTTTTTTTCGTCTTTAATTTATGCAACAAAACTAAGCAAATGTCAGTAACTGTTAAGCTATTCACCCACTTAGAATTTTTTTTCATTTACATAAATTTAAAATTCTTAAACAAATAAACTTATTTTGGAGAGTTATCTCTCGTCTCTGATACATCCAACCACCTAACACTTCACAAACTGTAGCCTAACATTCTAAAGAAACGAAAAGATGTAATTTAATATCCTCAAGAGACCCAGGAGCTGCAGCAAAACACTAAAGAGATCAAATGTCTTATTGATCATGTCAAATTTGTCCAATGGCTGTAGCTTAACAGTCTAAACAGGCAAACTAGCTGGAATTCAAGAATGTCGAAAGACCCCAGCTGCCCTTGTTCATTAACCAAACGAAGCACAGAGGCTGTGGCTCGATTCTCTTATGAGGCCCAATAGTTGTAGTTCACCACACTTACGGTGTCCAAGAAAAGGAAATTAAACCTTTGATATCATGCTTTAATTTTATTTCGATTAAATGAGGTACAGCGAAATTACCCTCAAAAGGCCTAGAGAATGTATGTTTAAAATATTAAAATACCCAGAAACTGTTCTTAATATGCCCAAGAGAATATAAATTTAAAACATTAAAGTACATAGGAGCCGCTTTCAATATGCTCAAGGGTTGAGTCCATGCCAAGAGGCAGGAACTCACTCAATTTGAGCTCTTCTAAAATTAAAAGTGATTAAGATCTCAAGATGACAATAGTAATATAAAATTATCCCTAAGACGAATCACTAAGTGAAGATTTTTATTTCGCAGGAAAAAATATCTGGAAATGATTTGTCCGAACGAAAAACACCGACTTACGTGCGCCGCAACTCGCCTCCGCTTACCTCCACGGATTCTACGTCACTCCACTTTTCCTGGGCCAGAAAATTTACCTCATGGAAGTTCACGTCACTGAGTGACGTCAAAGCTTTCCTTACCTGACCATACTTAATATATCATTCCTGAGTTCATTCATAACAGAGTAACAATTTTTTTCTCATTTCACTCATTATTTCTCTCATTTCATATCATTAACTCTTAATTATCACATTGTGTTGTTTCTCGAGGCGGGACAATGTGTCGTGGGGTCGAATCCTGGCTTGGCGCAGTTTGGTAAAATGATTAAATATATATATATATATATATATATATATATATATATATATATATATATATATATATATATATATATATATATATATATATATATATATATATATATACATATACAATAATATCACAGTAAACAGGTGATTTCAGAATATGCAAAACAACCACTGCGAAGGAATAGAGAAATTCCAAGCGCTTTCGTGACTACTCACATTATCAAGGAACAATAAAAGTACTGCATCAAAGGAAGGCATATAAAGGGTCTAGCCCACACCTCACTATCACATCCCACAACAAAGCAACACCTGACGCGCGACTCATAAGAAAGGGAACACTGCAGCAGGCCCGCTGGCCCAACTAGACAGGGCCTTCACACAACCCACCAACAAACTATTCTACCCAAGAATTAAGAATTTTAAAATTTATTATTTGTCCAATGTATTATTAAATTCTTCCCAAATTCTATTAATTATAAATGGATCTAATTTATATAAACCAAAGGAAATATTCATATTATTGTCAAAACTGCTTTTTTATGAAACAAAATTCAATTACATTCCTGTCGACCATGGACTTGCCTGATACAACTTTCTCAACTTTTTGAAAATCAATTGGATGGTTAAAATCTCTCACATGAATAAATAGAGCATTGGAATCTTGTCCAGTTCTAATGCTATATTTATGTTGTTTTAATCTTAGTTCGAGACTTCTACCAGTTTGACCGTAATAAACTTTATCGCAAATTTTACAAGGAATCTTATAGACACATCCGTCAGCATTTTGGGGGGAATTCTTTATCAAAAGTTTTTTTTACTGTATCAAGATTTTTAAATACAACTTTGATATTAAAAGTCTTAAGAAGAGAAGGCATATCAACAAAGTTTTCATGGTAAGGGAGAACCAACATATTTTTAGTTGAATAAGGCTGGTTGTCCCTTTTTGGATTGTAAAAAGTATTTCTAGTAATTTTAAAAGATTTATCAATTACGTTTCTTGGGTATTTCAAATCATTAGCAATTTCATAAATTTTGGATATTTCCTCATCTATGAACTCTGGACTACAAATACGTAAAGCTGATAAATTAGACACATGTGCAACTCTTGGGTATCTTTATTGAGGAAACGTTTCGTCACACGGTGGCTTCATCAGTTCATACAAAGGAGAATCTTGAAGAACAGGAGGAGAATGAGGTAATCAGTCCCTCAACCTTGAGTCGATGTGGTCAGTCCATCAATCTTGTATAGAATATGGCATATGAGCGGAGAAGCAGCTTATAAACCGTAGGCAGGAGAGGTGCAGCAGTCGTAGGTGGGATCTTAATACTTGGGAATTCTTCGCTTGCCTAACCCTTGGGCACGACCTACTTCCACATTGAACAAATGTGACACCACCTACGACTGGTGCACCTCTCCTGCCTACGTATAAGCTCCTTCTCCGCACATATGCCGTAAAAGTCTCGAACTAAGATTAAAACAACATAAATATAGCATTAGAACTGAACAAGATTCCAATGCTCTATTTATTCAAGTGAGAGATTTTAGCCATCCAATTGATTTTCAAAAAGTTGAGAAAGTTGTATCAAGCAAGTCCATGGTCGACAGGAATATAATTGAATCTTGTTTCATAAAAAGCAGTTTTGACAATAATATGAATATTTCCTTTGGTTTATATAAATTAGATCCATTTATAATTAATAGAATTTGGGAAGAATTTAATAATACATTGGACAAATAATAATTTTTAAAATTCTTTATTCTTGGGTAGAATAGTTTGTTGGTGGGTTGTGTGAAGGACCTGTCTAGTTGGGCCAGCGGGCCTGCTGCAGTGTTCCCTTTCTTATGAGTCGCGCGTCAGGTGTTGCTTTGTTGTGGGATGTGATAGTGAGGTGTGGGTTAGACCCTTTACATGCCTTCCTTTGATGCATTACTTTTATTGTTCCTTGATAATGTGAGTAGTCACGAATGCGCTTGGAATTTCTCTATTCTTTCGCAGTGGTTGTTTTGCTATATATATATATATATATATATATATATAATATATATATATATATATATATAATATATATATATATATATATATATATATATATATATATATATATGTCGTGCCGAATATGTAAAACTGGTCAATTAGCAAGAACTCATTTAAAATTAAGTCCTTTATGAAATTTTCTCTTATACGTTTAAAGATATATTTTTTTCATTAGTGTTAATGTAAAAAATTTTAATTTTCCTCCAAAAGAATCTTAGAAAACTTACCTAACCTTATTATAACAAGAGCAATTTATTTTAGCCTAACCCAACTAAATATATTTTAGATTTGTTTACAATAATTTAATACTAAACAAACACAGTGAAATATATTTTTTTCGTTAGGTTCAGAATGATTTTGGCGAAATTATTGCATACACAAATTTTCGCTTGTCCTATATGGCAAGATGAGCGTTGCTATTTAAGCCAAGATCGCAAGTTCTGCCTATTCGGCACGACATATATATATATATATATATATATATATATATATATATATATATATATATATATATATATATATATATATATTATATATATATATATATATATCGTGCCGAATATGTAAAACTGGTCAATTAGCAAGAACTCATTTAAAATTAAGTTCTTTCTGAAAATTTCTCTTATACGTTTAAAGATATATTTTTTTCATTATGAGGAGAATGATTACCTCATTCTCCTCCTGTTCTTCCCGTTTCTCCTTTGTATGGGCTGATGAAGCCACTGTGTGGCGAAACGTTTCCTCAATAAAGATACCCAAGAGTTGCACATGTGTCTAATTTATCAACGTGTCAGTTCTCTGAACCATTCGTCTACAATCCTGTCAGACACTGCAACTTCTTGGGATCTTAATACTTGGTAATTCTTCGCTTGCCTAACCCTTGGGCAAGACCTACTTCCACATTGGACAAATGTGACACCACCAACGACTGCTGCACCTCTCCTGCCTACGGTATTTAAGCTACTTCTCCGCAGATATGCTGTATTCTATTCAAGATTGATGGACTGACCACATCAACTCAAGGTTGAGGGACTGATTACCTGATTCTCCTCCTGTTCTTCCCGTTTCTCCTTTGTATGGACTGATGAAGCCACTGTGTGGCGAAACGTTTCCTCAGTAAAGATATCCAAGAGTTGTCCATGTGTCTAATTTATCATTCTCGAGTTATTGCTCAAAATCCAACAAAATATTCACATATACAGATGAACCAGCGATAAAAGATTGGTGCTATTAGCATCTGTTTTATTGTATTCACAGGAAAGCGCTAAACCAGTATTGATCATATAGCACATATAGAATGTTAAGCATTTAGATTCGATCCAAGGCTAGGGGGAGCCTGAGCCCACTTTCTTGGATCAAGAACTCCTAGTTATCATCAAGGCAAAATAATGCATGGAAGTAACATAATACTATATCATTTCGAGATTAAAAGTGACAAAATATCTACTTCATATTCCATTAACAATACCAACCTTCTTTTAAATAGAAATTTTGACGTTGATCGGAGGAAGTTTTCTTCAGTTACCACTAGGACAAAATATCCACGAGTGACCAAGGTACCATTGACCAAAGGGCAATCCAGGTGCGGCCAAGGTACCATTGACCAAAAGGCACTATCCAGGAGTGACCAAGGTACCATTGACCAAAAGGCACTATCCAGTAGTGACCAAGGTACCATTGACCAAAAGGCACTATCCAGGAGTGACCAAGGTACCATTGACCAAAAGGCACTATCCAGGAGTGACCAAGGTACCATTGACCAAAAGGCACTATCCAGGAGTGACCAAGGCACCATTGACCAAAAGGCACTATCCAGGAGTGACCAAGGTACCATTGACCAAAAGGCACTATCCAGTAGTGACCAAGGTACCATTGACCAAAAGGCACTATCCAGGAGTGACGAAGGTACCATTGACCAAAAGGCACTATCCAGGAGTGACCAAGGTACCATTGACCAACGGGCACTATCCAGGAGGGACCAAGGCACCATTGACCAAAAGGCACTATGTAGGAGTGACCAAGGTACCATTGACCAAAAAGCACTATCCTGAGTGACCAACGGTATAAGTTTAAAGCTGATCGGAAACGGCACGTACCAGTAATTGATCTAATTTTAACGATTATAAATTTATTAATAATTTCATACTGAGCGTTTTTGCTAGCAAAAACTCTCACTCTGGACGTGTTTGCTAGGATTTTATACTCTTTCTTGCAACGTTGCAAGCTTCTGATGATGTGTTGATTGCAACACGAAACGTCTAGGGCTATATTACAAGTCCCACTATGGTTGTTTTAAATATTGTATGGCTTGTTAGCTATTTTTTGCATTCCCTTTTCTATTGAACAAAATTATCGTATTTTTTAAAATATAAAATATTGAAAAAAGTATCGATATCGTGGAAAATTGAATAATGTTATCGACCGAAAATTGTGTTTTGGTATCGCCATAAGACGAAAAATTGAGTTTCAGTATTGGCATCGGAAAATACTTTGGTATCGTCTCATCTTTATATTTTTTTAATAAATTACCTTTTAAATATAATCTTGCTAGGTAAACTTTGACATGTATTAAGGTAGGATAAATTCTAATAGGTAAAAATATACATTACCAGGAACATAACTGTCAACAAAAAATAATAGCCAATATCAACACAATTCTTTCTTCAATCAATATAAATATATATATATATAATGTATTATTATAATGTATGGTGAATAATGCATGTCACCTTTTACAAAACATTATGAAGACAACTGTAAGAGACTTACCGCTGGAGTCCATCCCCTGGTGAGTTGGGTGGGCGTGGTTGGAGTGAGGGTGATGGGAATGGCATGAGAGAGAGCGTCATGGGTGAGCAAGCGAACCAGAACAGTCATGTTGGACTCCACACCTCTCTGTTCCCACACCCGGTCACTAACATGGAACCGCAGCTCGTACCTGCAGGCATTATAGCAATGCAAATACGATTTAAAAACTTTTATGAATTCAAAACAAATGAACGCAAATTTGAAATGGAAACTAAACCTCATTTCGGTGCCCTGGAACAGTATCAAGTTCCAGGGCACCGAAGTTCTGACATTGTGACTTTCATTCGTGCATAATTTATTATGTGTCGAATCCCTTGTGACTTTAACTTCATAAACACTTTTGACTTTACCTTTTTTTATTTATCTGATGAATATATTAATTTCGTAAGTGTCCCTCTCCCCTTTTGATTCACTTATAAGTAACTTTCTTTTATTCATCCATTTAGGGTCATTAGTGTTTGATCGAATTTCCTTATTTGGAACATAAGTTACCTGGGCAGCACGGACAATGCTTTGAAAAAGGCCATATTGGAAACCATCACAGTCGAACTGACCCACAAGATAATGACCAGTCATGTCACAACAGTTCACCCTGGTAGTCCTCAGTCCTATTAAATCAGCCCAGCAAAAGTCAGAAACATTGACTTGGTTGTAGTTAAGGTAATTAGAGTGATTTTTGATCGCTCTTCCCAAGCTGATCATTAACCTCAGGATTATTATTTAGTGATTCATTGATGCCAAAAAGCAAGTCAAGCACGTTATTGCCTCTAGTCGGTTTTGTCACAAACTGTCTAATAAAAAATTCTGAATCGTATAAAGAAAAATGTTTTTGGAGCAAACCTAACCTAGAAACTTCCCCTAACCTAATTTAACTACATTACAGTACCAAGGACAAAAAGTAGGAACATTAATATTCATACGAAATGATTTTTTTTTACTTATACCACTTCGAAATAAACTGAAATTGATTATCAAAAGCCTTGTTTAGCCGACAAAAAAAAAAAATCCTTAGAAAGTAACATTTCTGTTTGTTATTAATTTTCATAATGGATTCTGTAATACGCTATTAAGAACTGGAGTATTACTGTAAAGGTTTGCATGATTTTTTAAATAAAATAATTACATGTTTATGACATGTTAAACGAATCCAAAACTAAAACACTAACAGAAACTCCAAGAATTATAACCCTAAATGACTTGGAAATGGGGTTAGAGTTCCCACCTACTATACAACAATTAATAATATTAACAATTGTGCTCACGGTGTGATTTGACACAAATTCGGTCATAGAAGCCAGGAATATTTTAGTTTTGGCATCTTCTCAATGTCATTAGTATCATTTTAAAAGCCAATAAATGAACGGATACAGAACGCTAGAACGTATCGAAGAATTAAACGGAAATAAACAGAAATATTGCCGTACGAGAGGGGGAAAACACCAATATTTTGCAATTATTTTGCCTAAGCTTCAAAATTACTCACTGATTGGCTTCTATTCAGCGGAGAGACAACAAAAGCCTTACATTTTAGACTGTGAAAAACACAGATTGTGTGTTTATGCACGCAATGTATTTCCCGAGAGTTGGTTTGCAGCGTAATAAGTCACTCTCCCTTGTATGTTGCGCCAGTACTACTGATGCATAACAGATCTCTCAGCATGCAAATAACACGATATTCATAACCCGCTCCTTTGTCTGCATTATAGTTATCAATATAATATTTTAACGTTTTTTTTTTTTGAGAAAGATCCGACGATGGACCTTTAAGTGGCTGCCTCATTTGCTTGTTTTTTTTTTCTCCAAATTATCGTTCTTATTTCGTTAACGACAAGAGCATACCTCATTCGATGAGCTTCAATTTACAATGCAGGTGTTAAGTAACTTAGGTAAGATTCTTGGAATAATTAGTATGGGCTGCTTTCTGAATGCTAAAGTTCAAGAACTCATTCCAATTTTCTGGAATGGTTCCGATGAATTCCAAAATCCTATGATGCTTGATTTTAAATGTCAAAAAAAAAAAAAAAATTCATCCTATTCAACGACAGTGTAGAGTGAAATTCAAGTGTGCAGATGCAAATTTGCAAATTTCAAGTGCAAATTAGTGTATTTTTTATTCTGTGTTCTAAATGGCTTGGGTATCTAATGGTTGATGGATCTATGCCTGGGAAAATACACAGTTATCTTAGTCTCTGTGCAGAAAAAAATGTCGATATACTAAATTAATTGGTAAAAAAGTTAAATATTTTTAATCCATTTGAAAACTGAAGAATGCGGCTTCAAATATTCATCCCTGATATGTGTGTCCAGAAAGCGAAGTTCGAGTAAATACTAGGCTGCATAAATTCCTATTTGTTAATTTTATTAAATAAATAGTAATATTAATTTACATTTTATAACTAAAGAATGACTCATCAGCTTGAAATTAATAATGGCGATTCATTACAAAAGAAGGATGTCACATGACTGCCTTTACTGATAGGCTTCAAACTTTCCGTGTTGATGGGATTTATTGAATGAAAACTTGGTTTTTACTTTGAACTACGAAATTTTCAAAGGAAAATTTTATTAAATTGATTTCCATGTAATAACGAAAGACTTCTTAACTCCTAGTATTTTTTACTGAATGTGAGATTTCAACACGCCAGTTTGCCAATTATGTACAATCTTTTTATCAATGCAAAGTCATATATTTTTTTTCATAGAAAAGTGTAAATAATTTTAAATAGAATAGAATTACAATAAGACATGTTTATTCAAGCCGAGTGACTTTAGGTTTCCATCCCTGTTGAAACAAAGCTAAGGCAAGGATCGAAAAGCAATTGGTAAGTGTAGTTTATCACTGTTTAATTTTATATAGCTCTTTTCCGATATTTGCTTCCATGTTTTGACTGTAAAAAGTCGCTTCTGAAAGTCCTTAAAATTTCGAGGTTCGTGTATGCTGCTGAGATGGTCGTTATTGTTAATGAAGAGGTGTTTGCTAGATTATAATCTAAAATGGTAAAGTAATATTTTGAAATAAATTATTGAGTTATGTTAGTATTAATTTGCCAGTTTGATAAGTCAAATTAGTTCAAAAATTAATTGGAGAATGTCTCTTTTGATCAGAAATAATTCAAAGCACTGGATTTCATTGGGTTATCCTGGGCTATATCTCCATAATATAATATACTTTAAAGTACCCTTAACATAGCTGTGCCCTCAACACCATAGTTCAAAATATAAAGTTATGTGCTCATAGGTTAAATAAAATTTAAAACTTAAACTTTGATTAATCTTACTTGGAGAGATTTACATCGATTTTGGCCAGATTAAGTCTCAATTTACCATTTTTATTGAAGATATTGAGGAAATCAAAATACTGCATTTCTTAAAATATCCTCTGAGTGCTACATCTAAATACCTTCAACTCCTTAGAGCTGATAACGTAATATCCCTAAACATAACGTGGTGAAGAACTTTATATAAGTCTCTCTTGAGTTAACAAATATAGTTTCAGAGCTGGTGTTTCCTAGCTGAAGTCTGAATTAGCTTCGGGCTGCGTATGACCTAACTCGCAAATGAGGTATTACGAAAGTGCTTGGAGTTTCACTATTTTTTTCATGGAGGTTGTTGTGCATATTTAGATATTGCTTGCTTATTGTGATCTTACTGCATATGTCTCTATGTATAATTAATTTTTATTATTATTATTAACACATCAGCCATGTCCCACCATGGAAGGTTGGTCCAAAAAAAGAAAAACTTTCATCATCATTCACTCCATCATTGTCTTGCAAGAGGAGCGCTTACACTACAGTTATAAAACTAAAACATTAACACTCCTACTTCAGAGTGCAGACACTGTACTTCCCATCTCCAGGACTCAAGTCGGGCTTGCTGGTTTCCCTGAATCCCTTCATAAATATTACCTTGCTCACACTCCAACAGCACTTCAAGTCCTAAAAACCATTTGTCTCCATTCACTCATATCTAACATGCTCACGCATGCTTGCTATAAGTCCAAGCCCCTCGCACACAAAACCTCCTTTACCCCCTCCCTCCAGCTACTCCTAGGCCGACCCCTACCCCAGCAAATATATATATATATATATATATATATATATATATATATATATATATATATATATATATATATATATATATATATATCTTTCAACGCACCAGCCGTATCCCACCGAGGGAGGGTAGCCCAAAAGGAAAAACAAAAGTTTCTCTTTTAAATTTAGTAATATTTACAGGAGAAGGGGTTACTAGCCTCTTGCTCCCGGCATTTTAGTCGCCTCTTACGACAAATAGCTTACGGAGGAAGAATTCTGTTCCACTTTCCCATGGAGGTAAGAGGAAATAAACAGGAGCAAGAACTAGAAAGAAAATTGCAGAAAACCCAGAGGGGTGTGCGTATATGTATGCTTGTACATGTATATGTAGTGTGACCTAAGCGTAAGTAGAAGTAGCAAGACGTACCTGAAATCTTGCATGTTTATGAGACAGAAAAAAGGACACCAGCAATCCTACCATCATGGATATATATATATATATATTATATTATATATATATATATATATATATATATATATATATATATATAATATATATATATATATATATATATATATATATATATATGTCGTGCCGAATAGGCAGAACTTGCGATTTTGGCTTAAATAACAACGCCCATCTTGCCATATAAGACGAGTGAAAATTTGTGTATGCAATAATTTTGCCAAAATCATTCTGAACCTAACGAAAAAAATATATTTCACTGTGTTTATTTAGTATTAAATTAGTGTAAACGTATCTAAAATATATTTAGTTGGGCTAGGCTAAAATAAATTGTTCTTGTTATAATAAGGTTAGGTAAGTTTTCTAAGATTCTTTTGGTGCAAAATTACAAATTTTTACATTATCATTAATGAAAAAAATATATCTTTAAATGTATAAGAGAAAATTTTAGAAAGGACTTAATTTTAAATGAGTTCTTGCTAATTGACCAGTTTTACATATTCGGCACGACATCACGACATTTATATATATATATATATATATATATATAATATATATATATATATATATATATATATATATATATATATATATATACACACTATATTATTATATATATATATATATATTATATATATATATATATATTACACACACGTATATATTATATATATATTATATATATATATATATATATTATATATATATATATATTTATATATATATATATATATATATATATATATATATATGTCGTGCCGAATAGGTAAAGCTTGCGATTTTGGCTTAAATAGCAACCCTCTTCTTGTCGAAAAAGGCAAGCGAAAATTTGTGTTTACAATAATATCTATAATATTGTGTATGTAATAATATATATGTCGTCCCGAATAGGTAATATTGGTCAATTAGCAACAACTCTTAAAGCTGAATCCTTTCTAAAATTTTCACTTATACGTTTAAAGATATATTTTTTTTCATTTATGTTAATATAAAAATTAATGATTTTGTACCAAAAGAACCTTAGGAAACTTACCTGACATTATTATAACAAGCGCAATTTAATTTAGCCTAATTCAGCTAAATATATTTTATATAAGTTTAAAATAATTTAATAAAAAACAAACACAATGAAATATATTTTTTTCGTTCGGTTTAAAATGATTTTTGCGAAATAACTGCATAAACAAATTTTCGCTTGCCCTATTCGGCAAGTGGATTGCTATTTAAACCAAAAGCCAAAGTTTTACTTATTCGATTGTTGAGATCGTTTAGACATGTAGAGAGAGGTGGAATGAAATAGAATGACTTTGAGAGTGTATAAATTTGTAGTGTAGAGAAGGCAGGGTAGGGATCGGCCTAGGAAAGGTTGGAGGGAGTGGGTAAAGGAGGTTTTGCGTGCGAGGGGCTTGGACTTCCAGCAAGCGCGCATGAGCATGTTAGATAGGAGCAAATGGAGACAAATGTTTTTGGGACTTGACGTGCTATTGGAGTGTGAGCAAGGTAACATTTATGAAGGGATTCAGGGAAACCGGCAGGCCGGACTTGAGTCCTGGAGATGGGAAGTACAGTGCCTGCACTCTGAAGGAGGGGTGGTAATGTTGCAGTTTTATAACTATAGTGTAAACATGCCTCTGGCAAGGCAGTGGGCAGTGATGGAGTGAATGATGATGAAAGTTTTTCTTTTTCGGGCCACCCTGCCTTTGTGGGAAACGGCCGATGTGTTAATAATAAAATATATATACATACACACATATATAATATTATATATATATATATATATATATATATATATATATATATATATATATATATATTTATATATATATATATATATATATATATATTATATATATATATTATATGTATTATATATGTATGTTTGTGTGTGAATGTGTGCATGCATGCCATGAGTTCATTTACCTGCCCTCCGTGATGAGGCTGGAGGCGAAGACAGCACCGTCGCTGGTGTTGAGGAAGAAGAGCGGGTGTGGGGGTCCAGCCCACTGGAAGCTCTTGTCTCCCAGGTCCCAGTCATCAGCGTCGTCCACATACACCCGTCCCAGAGGCGCCTCAGACCCTCCCACCTGCATCATACGATTACTGGTTAGGCTACTATTGTGATATGCTCTCAGGGAAGGTTCCTTGAAGCTGGTGAGGGGCTCTTGATCTGGGAAATTGGATCTTTGCTCCAGTTCAGTGAATTGAGTCTTAATACCTTTCATCCCCCCCACAGGCGCTGTATAATCCCTACGGGTTTAGCGCTCCCCTATGATTATAATAATCTTAATCAAGTTTTCTGCTTCTAATACTGCTTCTTGCTTCTAAAACTGCTCATTGCTATTGTTACTGCTTCCTGGTGCTAATACTACCGTTTCCTGTTTCTGCTGTTGATCCCTCTATTGCTTTCTGCTCTCATTGCTGTTTCCTGTTTCTACTTCTGCTTATTGCTGATACTGAATTCTGTTTCTGCTCCTGCTCCTGTTCACTTCTTCACGTATTGCTACCTGTTCCAATACTCCAGGATCCTATTACACTTTTCAGGTCCTACTGCTTGTCCCTGCTCTTACTACTGCTTCTCCCTGCTCTTACTACTAGTTCTACTGCTCTTACTACTGCCTCTCCCTGCTCTTTCTACTGCTTCTCCCTGCTCTTACTACTGATTCTCCCTCCTCTTACTACTGCTTGTCCCTGCTCTTACTACTGCTTCTCCCTGCTCTTACTACTGCTTCCTGCTACTATTGCTCCCTGCTCTTACTACTACTACCACTGCTTCTTGCTCTTGCTATTGTCTCCTACTGCAACTTTTTCCTTCCTGCTACTACTGTTCCCAGCTCATATTACTCTTTCCTGTTTCTACTACTGCTCTCTGATCCAACAATTGTTATTCCTGCTACTACTCCCTGCTCCTTGTTGCTACTACTGCTTCCTGCTTCTACCGCCGCTCCTACCACAACTTCGTTTTTCCCACTGCTGTTTCCTGCTCCTGCTTCTGCTTTCTCCTCCTACTTCTGCTCCCTATTCCCAGTTCTGCTTTCTACTCTTAGTACTGTTTCTTGTTCCTACTGTTTACTGCCCCTACCATTGTTCCCTATTGTCCTTACTGTTTACTGTTGCTACTACTGTTCCCTGCTGCTAGTAGTACTAGCCGCTCCTACTGCTTCGTAATACTACTGATTCCTTCTCATTCTTCTGTTTCTTGCTCTTATTGCTCTTCTTTGCTCCTCGCTCTACTATCTGCTTATACTACTTTTTTCTTTCCTTTCCTACATTTCCGTGCTCATATTATCGCTTCTTGCTGCTCTCTCTTCTGCTTCCTGCTAACATTATTCACCTGTTCCTACTACTGCTTCATCCTTCAGCTGCTGTTCTTTCCTATTACTTCTACTGCTTTCAACTCCTACTATTACACTCTGCACTTACATTTGTGCTCCTACTACCCCTGGTAGTACATAAGATCACGCTATAAGGAATCAGACTATGAGGAATCACACTATGAGGATTCACACTATGAGGAATCACACTATGAGGAATCACACTATGAGGAATCACACTATGAGGAATCACACTATGAGAAATCACACTATGAGGAATCACACTATGAGGAATCACACTATGAGGAATCACACTTTGAGGAATCACACTATGAGGAATCACGCTATGAGGAATCACACTAAGAAATCACGGTATGAGGAATCGCGCTAAGAGGAATTACACTATGAGGAATCACGCTATGAGGAATCACGCTATGAGGAATCACACTATGAGGAATCAGGCTATGAGGAATCACGCTATGATGAATCACACTATGAGGAATCACAATATGAGGAATCACGCTATGAGGAATCACAATATGAGGAATCAGGCTATGAGGAATCACAATATGAGGAATCACAATATGAGGAATAACACGATGAGGAATCACAATATGAGGAATCACAATATGAGGAATCAGGCTATAAGGAATCACACTATGAGGAATCACACTATGAGGAATCACACTATGAGGAATCACACTATGAGGAATCACAATATGAGGAATCATAATATGAGGAATAACACTGAGGAATCACACTATGAGGAATCACACTATGAGGAATCACGCTATGAGGAATCACACTATGAGGAATCACAATATGAGGAATCACGCTATGAGGAATCACGCTATGAGGAATCACGATATGAGGAATCACAATATGAGGAATCACGCTATGAGGAATCACGCTATGAGGAATCACGCTATGAGGAACCACACTATGAGGAATCACGCTGTGAGGAATCACGCTGTGAGGAATCACGCTGTGAGGAATCACGCTATGATGAGCCCCCTCAGGGCATATCACATTATTGAGGAACTCCAATTCCTCGGATCAAGTTTCTTTCCCCAAATTTCCTTCCAAATTTTTTCTTTTTCCCAAGAGTTTATAGTCACTCCATTTCCTCGTATCATCCTTCCATGGAACAAAATTTATTACCACGATTTATATTTGTGAATGTAAAAATTCGGTTTTTCAGGGTCATAGAATGTTAATATAATGTACACAATGATTTTTCGAAGATACATATAAATGAAAATGTATGTAGTATTTCCATAGAGTTTCTGACTCTCATGGTCTCAACAGTATGGACAGAATGTGATTGTATTCTATTCTAGACCGTATCTCCTGATACAAATAAGGATCATTCTACCAGTTCAATGTATCAAAGGTGTTTCTCCTGATTCTTCCAGGAGTAACCATTGCTGAAGTTACCTAACCACCTAGTGGTATATAAGCTACAGCTCCAGGTCCCCCCATTTTTAAAGGTATAAAATTTATAAGGTGCATAAAGCAAGTGTATAGAGGTACAAGACCACTTCTGTGGTACAGGTCTCAACATATATCAAGTTTTCTGTGGTATAACTTCTGGGTCCCATTTAAGAGATGTTAGGATCATACGATGCTTAACCTGACCACTTATGTAATAATAGGCGCAGCTTCCGCTCCCCCGCTCCCCAAAGAACAAACATGGGAGACTTAGGTCTCAGACACTCCCTAGACAGGGAGCCAAGGCCGGGCCACCACTTGGAAAAGGCCCGGGCCGGGAGAAATACCGGCGAATCTTAAAAAAAAAAACAAAGGTAAGAATTATTTTTCTGGTAAACAAACTTTACCAGAAATATTTAAACAGAAAGTATACAAATAAAACACATTACAGCCTATTATTGACATTTAGCGAGGTATACAATATTACTTTATATACACTGTGTAAATCAAGTGGCAGTACTACGTATACACACTGATACACAGAACCACATAATGTTCAAATTACGAGGTGAACCAGATCTTCGGTCTGGTTCACCTCTGCCCTGAGGCGAGGCTGTGGTCATCTTCCGTGAGAAATATCATTAGCTTAGGTACTACGGTGAGCATCCCCCTACGAAGCTCTGACTGGAGCATTAGTACACTCATGAAGGGGAATGCACTTGGGTTAGGGATATATCACTCCTACACCTGTGGGGAAAATTTAACACCAATTATTTTTGCAGAAACATTCCAAGTTAATGATTACTGTTAAAACAGACACTCCTGTACTCTGGTGCTAAGACACTATACATGCTATACAAACAGACGAGTGACGTTACTAGGTGTATACATTGTTACATTTTATATTCGACTTATATACATTACAGGCTATGTATTTCCCTGTTCCCTCTCCATACAACCATAATCTAAAACTCTGCAATCATAAATAATCTCTACAAATTAAAACTCTGAAATCATAAATTACAATTCTACAATTAAAAGTTACAACTCTACAACCATTAAATACAACTCTACAACCATAAATTGCAATTGTAATCACCCAGTCACAGGTCTTTACAAGAATTTATACACACAGAACCTGCGATAGAGTAATTTCCATACAGTCAACCCGCAATATATCACTCGGAGTACCCCAGCAATACATCACTCGGAGTACCCCAGCAATACATCACTCGGAGTACCCCAACAATACATCACTCGGAGTACCCCAACAATACATCACTCGGTGTACCCCAACAATACATCACTCAGAGTACCCCAACAATAGTTCTTAAAACACACAGTTTTCTTCATACCGAAATACAATCATCTCACAATCTCGTTTAAGACAGAGTTCCATTTTGGTGGAGTTTGTTCAAGACACCGTTATGAACATAGTATTCCCCTGAGACGAGAGACCAGGCTAGCGGTTCCTGTGTCGTCACAAGATTCGAATTTTCATTATTGCAACTTTCACCTGCTCCCCAGCAGGTGTTCCCACCCAGTTATTGTACCTGACCCATTGATTATGATTAGAAAAGTGCAATTAGCACTTACCACACCCCTGACACACTCACTCTCCCTCAGAAGCACAAACTCGCCTCCATCTTGCAAGCAGTCAAAAGCACACACAAACACATAATTACACATTTGCACAATTACACATAATTTTTTTTTTTTGGGGGGGGGGCAAATATATAGACACGGTAATTTAAGAGAGGTTATTTTCCCGAAAGGTATTGAAAAATATGAAACTTTATAAGCTCAAATATGGGATTGCCATTATAAAAACAATACTCGAAACTCTGTCTCTGAAACTTAAGGAATTAGGCATTCGTACAGTGGTGGTCGTCAGAGAAGAAATAAAAAATTTAGAAGTGCAAGAAACAGAAGATTCGAGATTATTATCTGCTAGAGTATCCTGTGTAAGGTAAGTTCTTAAAAACTTTGCCAGTCAATTATTTCATAGTATCATCTATGTATTTTGCATAGATAATACAGCACACAGAAATGCGAATTACTTTGGAGTGCACTGTTCACAGATATTAGCCTATATATTAAAGATATGGAACGCAATGTGTGAGTAATTTGTGCTTACCAAATACCTTCATTTGTATATATTTTTTAATCAAAATATAACTTACTCTGATAGGAATAACTTGGTGTAACTTGTTCTTTTCTTGGTTTGTATAATTTGTATTTACCTTCATTTACATAACTTGTACATGGATTCTATATCTTGTGCTTATCTTGATTTGCATAACTTGTATTTTGTTAGAGATATAGAGTGTAACTTGTAATTA